AAAACATATTAATAATGAATAATTTCTATATTTTATTTGGTAATACATTCTTAGTTGTTATCATTTCTTCTTTTTATTTCATATGATGATAAATATTCAATTTTCATTAAAGATATTTCCATTTCAATCCATCATTATTTTATAATATATTGATAATTTAAGTTGTAAATAGTTTGTCAAATCATTTACACTTCGTTACAATATTATATGAATTAATAACATGTAAATATATTTCGAAAATGTAGTAATACTATTATCTAAATTATGTATGGATTGAAAATAAATATATAAGAATAGATGAATTAACAATAACAAAAGTCTCATTGACTATTATTTACTCATTAAATGAATGAGACTTTGTTGGTTGTAATGAAAAATAAAATATATATCCAATAACCCCAAGAAATCCTAACACAAAAATTACTGAGCCTGTTAAGAAAAATAAATCCCATGAATGATATTGCTTTCTCCATCGAATTGGTTCATTCATAGAAATTCTATAAATGTTGAATGGACTACGCAAACACTTTATTGAATCTAATTCTCCTTGCATTATTTTCCATGTAAAGTCACATGCATCTTCTAAATGAAGAGAAGTTTCTTTTTTTCCATCATTTAGCACAACCGAATCAATAATTGTTTCATTCCATCCATTTGGAGAGTATAAAACATACCCGTACTTCTGTGAATCAATTTTTGATCGTACATTTGTTTGAAGAGTTAAGGTAGTTTCTTTGAACGATACACTTGAAGATAAAGCAATTGCGTGTTCATTTGGATAATTCATTTTAATGAGTGAATGAACCAAATCAATATGGTCATTCTCCATTGAAAAAAACATTGCATTTTGTGCAATTTCTATTTGGCATTGAATAAGTTGTGTGGTAAAATAAATTCCTTCTATTTCTAATGAACATTTGTTTTGAATAGAAATAACAACATTATCAAGATATCCTCCAATAATCACTGATGCGTTATTATCTATAATAACTCTTTTTTGTTGTACTGAAGATGTAAGGTATTTAACAACATAAATATCCCCGTTAGATAATTGTAGTTCACCACTTTGATGATACAATACATCTATTTGTATTGTTGAATCAATACTCATATTAGAAACTGATAAAACTCCAATTTCTATTTCATTAGAACAATTTAAATGAATTGAGTTAGCAGAAATGAATGGGATTGTTCGAGTTGTGTATGGAATATGTAATGTTATTTGTTCTTGATCTTCAAAAATAAAAGCACAATTAGAATCTTTATGACAATTACACTCAATGTCATTGAGATAATATTGATGAGTACTAAGGATAGGAATATAACACTTGATAAATGACGATAACTCATATTTCTGTTTGAATTGGAGTGAATTGAATTCATTGATGATTGCATAATAGTTGTTATCAACGGAGTGTGCTTTTTCTTGTAAATCACAAAGATATAATCCAACTCCATCTTCATCCAATACAATTTTTTGTTCAGTTCCATCTCTGTCATTTTCTTCTCCATCAAAAACAATAGAATGAGGAGTTTCTGTTGAAATGAGCATCAAACAACCATCTTGATTTCTTGACTGAATTTGATTATTTCTTTGAATTAAAAATGAAGAATCACTTCCCTTCCATATTGGGTTATATGAACTACGTATAGTTATTGCATTATCATCCATAATGATGTAATACTTTCCATTACTAACTATAGAACATGACTCTTCAACACTAATATAGTCATTACTAAATATAATTCTTCCTTCATTCTGACTATCAAACTGTATTGTACCTTTTATCATAACTTCTGTGTCTGTAATATCCATGAACTCTCCAATATGTGCAGAATTTAATTGAATATGTTTACTTTTTTCAGAAACTAAATTACTGAGAGTAGAATTAATTATTTCAGCTCTATCATCATTAACAAATTGCTCTATTATACAATTGGTAATAACTCCATTTCCTTTAATTATATGAACTTTCTGAAGAGAAAGAGAGTCTATGGTTATTAACTCTTCCCCTTCATAATTTATTTCTACTTCACTTATTTTCTTTGGTAATGCTGTAATAGTCATTGGTTGAGTAATAATTAACTTAACACTCTGAATTTCTTTCTCAGTGGTATATTCATCTGTCAAACATTCTAAAGAATTATAACATTCTTTTATTTTGCAATTGATTGTTTTATTTGAACTTATCACATGCAACTCAGAATTATCACATCCAACTACAAGTTGTTGTTTATTATTTGGAATATCCTTGTGTATGTACCATTCTTCAAGAGAATTGTAGAAAAGTAATATTATGTTAGGAACTTGTTCAATCTTTTGCTGACTCTTGATTATCATCAAATCATCAGAGTCTCCAATAATCTCTATTTTTCTTATTTGTGGAATTTGGTTGCACTGAATAGAAGGAATACTTGTTTTATAGACTAAATCATCAATAATAGATTGTTGGTCCAAATAAATTGAAGACTCTGAATTACTGATTAATTTTGTAATGACCGACTGACCAGTCACATTTACCACTCCAAAGACATCCATGAGATTTATAGAAGAAGAGTCAATTGCACAGTATGTATCTGATGATATAACAACATCTAACTTATCATTCCCTTGCTTCAAAAAGGTATTAGTATATAATGACAATTGGTGATAAGTCTGTTGGTTAGAATCCGTTTGAACATGTTCATCAATAGTAATAGAATCTATAACCATAATAACATTATCAAATCCATCGTCATGATAAATCTCAATTGAGTTGTGACTAATGGAGTTGTCGGTTATCATTTTCAAATTAGAAATAGTTGTATTTTGATTTATAGTAATACTCAATGAGTCTGTCTGAACTATAAGAGACATACCATCTAAGGGATAGTAAACTTCATTCATTTCTGGTGGAATAATGACTTTGCATTGTTCAGGGTTATCACAAGAGTATGATGCTTTATCATTCATGAATGATTTATTTAATGTGCAAACACATTGTTCACCACAACAAAAAAGACAAAAGAATAATAGTAAATAAAGTGGTATTTGCATATGGATGAAATGGACTGAATTCTCTTCTAATGAACAAAGTGAGTAAAATCAATCATAGTCATCACTTTCGTTTAGTTAAGATTATATGACAAAATCCGATCTTATAAATTCTAAAAAAAGTTTTTTAAACCAAAAAAATAATAACAAAATATTCGAGTTAAAAAGACAATTCAACGTTAAAACTAGTAATTTAGAATTAACAGATGAACAAAATAACTCCAAATCATTAAATAATCAATCATGTCACAATATGCACAACAATATAAAGAACTTACTGAAAAAAAAGTAGAGGAACAAGCCAAGGTATTTCTTACACAATTTGTTTTAGAGTTCCAAGGTAAATTTGATGAAGTATTAGATACTGCTACATCATTCAAAGGATATACTGATGGAACTGTTGAAACACTTGAAGAAGATGCTATGCATGTCTTCATGGAAAAGAGAGGAGAAACTACAACTATCCAAGATTTAAGAGAAAGATTAAAAACAAATGGAATTGAGTTCAGAAAGAGATTTGCCTTTATTGATTATATGATGTTTGAATATCGTAAAAATATCAAAGATCTTTTTGAAAAACGAGGAGGTGCAGCTACTCCAGAAATGTTAAAAGCATTAGATGATGCATTAGCTGAGTTCCAAAAAGTAATGGATATTAAGAACGCTCGTTTACAAAAGATGAAGAAACTTGAAAGTGATGCAGCTAAAGGTGGTGTTAGAGGAATGGCTGCACAAAATGAATTAGCTCAAATGAAAAGTGAAGACCAACTTGCATTAAATAAAATGGAAGTTACAGCTGCTGCTAAAAAACGAAAAGCACAAAAGGCTGTTGAAAATGGAGATGATTCTAAAGCACGTGAAAAAGCACTTAAAGAAGAAAATGCACGTTTAGAAGCTGAAAAGAAAAAGAAAGAAGAAGAAGAAAAACGAAAGAGAGAAGAATCAAGAAGAAGATTAGCTGAACGTGCAGCTAAATTTAATCAAGCATAATTGAAATTTAAACATTCATTTTATTTGTATAATTTTAATTATTCATTTTAACTATAATTAAAATTATTATTATTAAAAAGAAAGATGAAAAAATCAATTAGATGTTAATGAAATTCAGCTTGTTCAATAACTTCTAATGTTTTATGTGTCATTTCCATCCATTCTTGTAATTTTTGACTCACAAATGTGAATTGTGTTTTATCTAAGATTCGAGGAAGAACCCAAGTAAATGTTGCTTCAGAGGTTGTTTGAGAAATATACCCTTTAACTAATCCTAATGACAATGCTCTCATTATAAGGATTTCAACATATTCAATAGGGACATGAGTAGTTGATGAGATTTGATCAAATCTGAAAGTACGGTTTTGAGATGGTGATCTGAAGATCATTTCCATTAAAGAAACGATAGATGCCTTTTCAATAATTTGATTTTTATTTTGTTTAAGAGAAGGTTCAGTATCAAATAATGTTGATAACTCTTCTTGAACTTGAAGATATTGACTCATATTTCCATTATTAATAGCTCTTAATAAAGTAATTAATTTACCTACTCGTTCTTCATTTTGAACTGAATCACAAATAGGATTATTAAGAAATTCTCCAAAATTATATACTTTATTACCTACTAATGCTGCAATAACCAAATTTGTTACAAACTTTATTTTATCATCTAATTCCATTGTACTTTGATCAACAAACTTTAAATATTTTACACCACTAATAAAATATTCATTTGCATCATTTTTACTTTCATAATAACATGTACATAAATAATGATATTGACTATATACAATAGCCTCTAATCCTTCTTCATGTTCTAAAAGTGTTGTTAATTTATCAATTTCATCACGTGCTCCATTGTTGTCTTTTAATAACAATTTATAATATCCAATTATTGAATAACATAAACATCGTGCTCCAAGATCACTTTTAACATCATCCATAATACTATTAACTAATTCAATGGCTTTAGAATAATCTTTAAATCCTTTACAAACAGAAATAACAATTTGAGTTAATTTAATTGGATTAATTTTCTTTTGTATGTCACGAATAAATAATTCATAAAAATCACTAATTACTCCAATTGTTTGTAAAAATCTATCATTAACAAATTTTTCACTTTCTTCTGTTAATTGAAAATATAATTTCTTTTCTTTTTCTTCTTGAAGTGTTTTACATTGTTCTGTATAATCAGGATATTTTTGTATTAAATTCTCAAAGAACATTTGACTCATCTCTTCTCTTTCTTTTCTTTTTCTAGTTTCTCTTTCATTTTCTTTTCTTTTTATTATTCTCTTCTAATATTTTATTATTACTTTTTTTACTCCTCTCTTGAAGTTTTATTTTTTATTTCTTTAAAAACAAATAAATTATTTAT